CCCCCCCGGTGTTTGCCATCGGGATTGGGTTTTCGTCGCTTGGCAAAGTGGCAAAGACGTTGTAAAACAAGCCAATTCCCTTTGTGAACTCGGCAACCAGGTTACCGTTTTTTTTTTTACCTCCGTTTTTTTTTTTTGGCGGTAACCATAATGGTGGTCGAGTAGATCATGTTGTGCGGGGTGGAGAACCCTCGCTCCGCGCAAGGGGGATGATCGCACCACGTTGTGTGAAAATTGTCAAGCACCCTCGGNCCGAATATCTCACGGCGCTTCGCGCTTGGTGATGTGAGAGCCTGGTCCGGTGAGAACCCGGCGTGCTCCGTCCCGGCTTTGTAGGGATGCGAGGTCAATGGTCTAACGACTACGGCATGCACGACTATGAGTTCCCCCCCCCCCCTCGATATGGGCCATGCCTAAGCAAGAGCCTTGCCGAGGCAGCGAGGGGAAGGAGGAAGGTCTGATGCATATGAAAAGGAAAAATGGGGTTCCGTGTAAACCTCCACGACCCACCTATCTCCGCTGTGCTGGCACGCTATCGTCGATTGACTTGACTCAAACGTGTCTTTCCCTCCGTCGCGCCCACCCGCATCTGCTTCGGTTGTTTTGCCCCAGTGTATTGGAGGAATCGCTCCGCCTCCAGCACAGCGGCGGCAGCAACAGCAAGAGCAGCAGGGGATGCGGAGACGGTGACAGTGGGGCTGGAGGCTGGGGTAGCAGCGCCGGCGGCGGCGGCGGGGGACTATCCTCGGGCAATGCTTCGACGAGCGGCAAGGACGAGAACAAGGCTGCTGCTGATGCCGCTGCTGCAGCGGTGGCGTTGCGGGAAGAGGAAGAGGCGAACCGCACCATCGCCATGCTGGAGGGGACGGCAGAATTCCTCAAGTTTAGCCGCCTGCTGCTCCTGCTGAGCGAGGCCATCTCCGTCTCCAACTCGGTGACGTCGACAAACGAAGCAGCGGCGGCGGCGACAGACGGAGCGACTTCGAACCGCCGGAATGCCGGCGGCGGCGGAGGCGGTGGCAGCCAAAGTACAGCCGAAGAAGACCTCGCGTTGACCAAGTCGAAAATGCCGCCGCCACCGCCGGTGGCCCCTGGTGCCGCCGGTGCGCCAGAAATTCTGACAGCTGTCGCTCGCGCTCGGGGCTCTGGGCGGAAGCGTAGGTAGGGGTCCCCCTCCCTACTCTGCTTGTTGGGTTTCCCCCATTTGTGTGCGCGTTGTCGGGCAGCAGCCTTGTGAACGATTTTTGTTGTTGTACCGTCCGAAACGCCCTCCGAGGATGTCGCGTTCACAAATCGCGGGGCTCAGTGGCTGGTCGGGGGCAGGAGGGGATGGTCAACCACCTGTTTTTTTTTGTGGATGCCGCGCTGGTTCGAGCTGCTTGTTCGCGGGGCCACGGCGGTTATTGAGGTTCAGTCGGGCTCCGTCTATGGTGTGGTAGCATTTGATATCTTGGTGCAGGAAGGTTGTCCCTGAACAGGTTCACTGTCAGTAGAGTTTTTTTCTTTATTTCTTGCTTCGTAAAGCAAGCTGTGTGTGGTCTGTCTCCCTTTCCTCTCCCCCAAGGGTAACCAAAACAGTGGGGAAGTGGTTTAGATTGGGCGTTAGTCTACCCTTGTGTTTTTTTTTTGTTGCTTCGTGTACGCGCGAGTAATGTTTGCGCTACTGCAAAGCAAGCATGTGTCTATTCTAGGTCTCTTGCCTCTTTTTTTCCGTGAAGGAGTGAAGGTATGACATAAACGGATGATGAGTGACACGTTGGGAAACCAAGCCAACGTTTTCTACCTTGGATATGTTCCCCATTTGTTTCATGCACACAGGCTAACATTTCTGTTTCCCAATGTTCTTGGTGCAACAATGCAGAGAGGAAACAGGAAGCAGGAAAGATGGGCTTTGCGACGAAAAGCCCAGACGTTACTGCTGTAGGTTTGTTTTGGTGCATATTTGCGGTTTGTCTGAGAAAGTGGTAGGAAAGTTGTAGAGATTGTGGTCTCGGTAGATATAACGAGGAAACGGTACTCAAGCCCGCAGGGCCGGTATATGCTGGTGCTCCAGCGGGAGTCGAGGACTATCGACCCAACGAATTCTTACGCGCAAGTGTTTTGTTTTTGCATGCTGTCGCGCGTTAAGAGTGGACTTGTCGAAACATGTTGCCGTTAGTTTTCTCTTGCCTGGTGTTGTGTAATTCTTCGTACATACTTTGAGGCGAGAGTGCCCGTGACTTGAGGCCACCTAGGTGGGTGTATGCTTCCGTACATGTTTTTGATCAAGCCCTCTAATTATCCCTTGGGGAGTACACTTGTTGCGTGGGGATCGGTGTCGTAACGTTCGGTCTAGGCTTCCGTTGATTTGTTTGTGTGTTCCATATGTTCTGCCGGAGTATCCGCTCCTGCGTCATCGTGTTGGATGTATGTAACCGGTCTGTTGCTATTGGCCACCGGAGCAAACTCTTGTTGCTCAGATTTCTGTTGCTGCTGTTGCTGCCTTGTATCTTGTGTGCCGTTCGTGCTGACTGCGGGCGGAACAAGCTGTCCTCTCAGTCTGTACAATTTGCCCATTGTCCGAAGTTGATTTTCCGTGGTAGGTTATGTTTCGATTGTTGCTTTGGCGATCGGCTGTTGCTGTACGACAAGACGCCTCACGTTCCGATTTCGTATTTTCAGTATCAATGGGGCGTTTCGGTAAAGGTAATGATATGTATGCCGCCTATGAGTCCTCCTTTCCCCGGGGGAGCAGTGCTGTGTGGCCTGGTAATCTTGTCCGAATCCGTGTCAGGTTTGTTTTGTGAGTAACATGTGGATGGCTAATATTGTTGGTGGCAATCCGATATGTCCTTGCCAATCAGTTTTTTTTGGTGACACGAAATGTTCATTCATCTCTGGACACCGGGTTGCATGGTGGGCAGTGGGTGTTGCCTTGTCGCTGTCGCCATGAGAGGAAAAAATATACGAAAGTATCTCATAACGTCTTGTGTGTACGGTGTTTGCTCCCGTTGGAGTGTATTCTCTGTACCTGTATTCGCCCTGCCGTGAGGGAGACGCCGTGTGACTGGGGTACAGCGAATAGCAAAGAACGTCGCAATCCAGACAACATTGTCAAGTACGTATTAATAGTATAGTAAAGTACCTCCTTCCTTGTCTTGGTCTCCGACGGGCAGCCCAAATCTCGGCGATAGCCTTCACGAGTCAATCTTCACTGCTGGATCATGACGTTTACCCTTTGTGCTGTGGAAGCCGATATTTGTGCAGCATTGGCGTCGTCTCCCCCTCGCCAAAGCTCGGACCGAAGAAAACCAGTTACTCCCACGCCATCAACAAGGCAAGGCCCATCAACCGGAATGACATGGGACGACGTGGCTGAAGTCGTGACCGTTGTTGTTGTGGTTGTTTGCATGTGGTGCAAGGGGCTGTGTCGGTGTGTGCACGAGGTACAGTAAATGAGTGGTATGCAGTTGTGTGGCTTCGACGATGCTGCGGTTTGACTCAAAAATAAGGCGAGTGTTGGTGCGGGTACTCCGGTCGAAGAGCGTTCCAGTGCAGATGTGCTCGGGCAGTCTGCAGCGCAGTGCCTAATGAGGTGGAGCCTGTCCATTGCGAAGGTGCAACTGACGGTGTCCACAAGGTCAGAAATTTGTCAAGCACGTTTCCATGGCGCCCTAAATTTTCGCCTCCTAATATCGTTCCCAATTTCCCTTTGGATTTCTCACACGTTTGTTTCGCAGTGTTTTCACATCATCAGTTATTTTACATCAAAGCCGGAAGTGAAGCAGATCTTTGGGGACGACGCCCCGCGTTTTCATAATGCTGATGCTATCCAACCAGGAAGACGTGTGTGTGGGAGTGAGGACTCGGTATCACACCGGCACTTCGGACACAGAAAACGCTCGGATATGAACGTCATGGACAAGAATGAAGGAGTGAAATCTGCACAAAAATGCACTCTGTCTTGAAGGGGTGGGACTCGCTTTCACACCGGGACTTGGGACACCGAAAAATGAATATTACTGCCGAGAATTCGGCTAAATGACGGCTTGCGCGACAGCTGGTGGTCGTGGGAACACAGCACAATGGTTTCATACCCATTGAAGGCATATTAGGAACGATTTCCCTCGTTGTCGTTGTACGTTTTTATATTACGACACTCAGAGGTTGGTGCTATGAAATCATTAAGAGCCATCTATATCGGCAACCAATATACCATATACCTGAGTGGGTAAAAAAACGTATGTGAGTTGTAGACAAAGCTCTGAATAAAAGGGGGTTATACAAACAACTGACTTCATGCATACGCCGCGGTTTTGCACTCAACCCGGATTGAACAATATTCATTCAACCTTTTGCGTAAGGGAGTTTGGTACGGGAGAGCATAGGGGGGGAGAGAAGTGGGGGGAGTGGAACAGAAGAGGTAAGGTGGCAAGGAGGGCAGGTCAAACTGCGGGTCGGCAGAGTGTTGACGCGCTAAAACAGATTTGGTAGCATGCACACGGTGCAGGCTGACTCAGAAATGAACACACGCGTACTCCATCCGCGCGCCCTATTTCACGGGCTAAGCGGTGCCGACACACTGGCGGCGACGGTGCGGGCAACTTCAAATGCAAACTTCTTCAAAACCCACGGCCCCAAAGCGCTACCCGATCTCCGGTGATCGCTCTTAAACAAGGTATTCGTTTCAGAAACCGCAATCCGAAACGTTCAACTACTAGATACTCCCGTTCAAACCTCGGAGCAGCAACCAACCGAAACCAATACGCAAGCCCATGATACTCCGTGCTGTATGTGCGGCCCTAATGCACCTGCCTTTGGACCGGCGTGCGTACTACGTCAACGTTGGCGACTTGCTTGCGGTCGCCAGTTCAACAGTTGTTGGGTTGTAATGGGGGTACAGTAGACACGAACCCAATGCAACTCATGCAGTGTAATACAGTGGACAGACCTAGGTCGCTATCCCGAGCTACCGGACCGCGCTTCGCGTGCCCCAACGTTGGCGTACGCACGCCGCGCGCTACACGGTGAAGCTCGGTGGACACCAACACCTCGTGCGGACGCCGAGAATCCCACTCCTTCCGTTCGTCTCTGCCACCTCTGCAATGATTTCAACATTCTTTCCGAAATCTGGATAGTGTGTCATACCCGAGACTGCAAAACCAGTCTCAGCTTTGGGTACATCAAAAAATTGTGGGGAAGGGCGCTGCCTAGTGCCACTTTCTGTTGTGCAGCTTGCCATTCTGTCGCTTGTGCCGCTGTCAATCTTGCCGACGGTCGCGTCGTTGGCACCGTTGTGTGGACCACGTTCCTTTTGGAACAGCTTTGGAGGACATACGGTGGGGAATGGACGGAAGGAGCGGCTTGACGAGGGCTGGGGAATCAGATTATATTCCGTGAACACTCAGAATGGCGCGTTTTGGAATCACAACGAGGAGACGCCAAGAGAAGGGAGACAAGGGAACCCCGGGAACACCGATTACATGTTGTTGTAGTGTTGACACCTCTCCAGCACCTCCAGCACCTCCAGCACCTCCAGCACCTCCGCTTCCGTACTCTCTTCAAGCTAAACACACGGACTTCTTGGTATAACAGGGCAGTCCAACTCCATTAAATGATCGACTCCCCGAAATTCAACACCTAGGTAAGGTTTCCTACATGTACCCCTACGGGAGCAGCGTCATTCCGGTGACCAGGCGGACCTCCACGATGTGTGTGAGGAGAGCAACAGAAGGCAACAAGTCAAAATAGGTAGTCCGCACATGGGCAAGAGTGCACGCCGCCCTGATAGTATCGATCTACGTTAACGCGGGTTCTTGTCCCCACGACCCACTTGAATGCACGGAAGTAGTAGGAGGTAGATCCGCCCACAAGCCCCAACCCGATCAGTGTCACGACTGACGTACAAATGGCGACGGCCTCCTCAAGCACGGTGAACGCCAGAGGTCGTGCACGCGTTGTGGGCCTTCGCATCGCCTAGAATCAGCACGTCTCTCCGATGACTCGTTTGACCAACATGACTGTAGAGACACACCATTCTAGGCAGCTTGTATGCTGCCAAATGCATATAAACCGGCGTAGTACGTGTCTTACCGCGACAAGCATGTTCGTGCTAAAAGAACAGCACATCAGGAAGTTGTACACCACGTGACCAGTCAGCCCCAGCAAGAAGCCATGGCCCTCCGGCACATTACTTCGCGGGAGGGGGAAGATAGCGAGCCCGACCCTGCAGCACCCAAAGACAGGTCGGACGTAACCCAACAAACATCGCATTCATCGGGTTTGCTCATATCCCATTTTTGTTCCGGTTTCTCGCGGGCGGAAATGGGAAAAGCACAGTCACGAAATGATGGCCATGCCCAATGCACGGAGACGTCTACGCTACTTGCTACGACCCACGGGGTATCGATGACACCGGCAGCACGACTTCAAAAAATGCCAATGCTTGAGGGCTCACCCAGCGAAAAGGGTAGCAATGATGGATATGTTGCTGTACGGCTCGAGGCGGTTCTGCCAGCCACCGCCATCGGTGGCAGGCGACTTGTCCCAATCAACTGCATTGCCGAAGACAAGAGGCGGAGGAGTAGGTGAGGCCCGTCGCATTCCTATCTACAGTCACCCAATGTGCTTTCCGAATAGACCTCATGGTAGGAAGCACCATTGAGGTCTTGCTATTTAACCAAGTGCTGCAAGCAGCATGATACATCGTACAAAACGACCATGAGACGTTTCGACTTGTGAGAGAGGCTAGTCCTTGTCGAAAGCCTTCATGACGGGCATAGTTCCTGCGCACATCAGGGCACAACAAAACACCACAAGAAAAACTCCTTGCGACACGGCGCATGGATCGTGTGGCCACTGTGGACCGGTTTGACCAACCATTTGCTCCTTAGGTAGTCTATGCTGCATTGTGCGAGAGTCATCCCTACGGAGCTCGGGAGCTTGCTCTCTGAGCTAGCTGGAGCTACTACATTGGCTCCATATCAACTAGCTCACCGCAGAGGCAGGTGTCGAACATGAATTTCTTTCTAGAACCCATCGTATCACATGCAAACATGCCAAAAAACAGTCAAGAGAATATAACATTGGGCTTGTTTCCCCCCCACTGCGTGAGGGGTTAGTCCATTCCTTGCAGAATGGCGAGTGTTTTTAAGGCCTACTGTAGGGCTTAGTCTATTGTTCTTGGGTGGCGGCAGGTTCTACCCCCCGCCGAGAAAGGAAAGCTTGGGGCACTTAAGAGTCTACTGGTTAGGATCCAACGAGATGAGTGGCGAGTCCCGCCCGAGATTGATGTTGTGGAATGTTGTCGAGCTATCTAGACCTAGACCTATACAACTCTAGTCTTTCACTGTTGGGTTGCTTTGGGTAGGGTCTTGACACTAGGAGCTGGGAAACATCACCGAGCTGCGCGATTAATCGAAAACCCATAGCGGCGCTACATGCCTTACCTTGCCATAGGGAAAATATCGGCAGAGCGGTTTTTGGTCTTGAGGGTATCGAAAAACATGTTTCTACATGCATGCATGAAACGTACGTTCGTCGATCTCCGTCTTCGTTATCTCGCAGTGAGTACACGTTGTAGAAGCTGGGGGACAAAATATTAGGCATTCCCCGCTAAGTCTGCATTTGCTCGCTCGCTGCAAGTCCCATCCCGCCGGAGCTGGGAAACTTCACATTTCACACGAGTGTGGGTGCTCCGACTCATTGTAAAACCAGCTCAGCGGTGAGCTTCGGCAACAAAAGTCAGGAACAACTTTCATAGCGCCTCCTCTTCTGGAAAATATGTCCTACCGACTCGCGTGAGGGACGCGTATTCTCAACACAAACAAACGCGATGCGTGACGCCTCACTCACCGGTAAGCTGGTTTCCATGGACCAGGAGCATCGGCCCCAGGCGAGCAACCAGCTCCTTGGTAATGATTCCTGTGCGAGTAGCACAGCAGTGAAATTCCCGGCGTGGTTGTTCGACGAGTAGGTCAGCACACGTTAGAGAGAAGCATCCGTATGATTCTACGGTCGTATGAAAACTACACACCACCCTGCCACGTACCTTCACGTTGTTTTCGTGGAACCCCAGGTTGAGTTCGGCTTCAATAAGAGCAAGTTGTGGGGTCCGAACGACCAGACTCCGAGGAGGGTGACTTCTCTCGATAACACCGATATCCATCCCATGTTGTTTTGCTTCATTTTATCCACTCCTCACCCCCATCCTGCAGAATGTTTCAGGGTCTCAGGAGAGAAAACACCTCAAGTACAGACTGGGTTTCGAACCAACGACGAAGCTTTTCAGAAGCCAAAACAAACCATCCCGTATCCCCCAGCTACTTTGGTACATATAGTGCCAGATATTTCAATAGAGAGAAACAGTGGGGTATTCCGAGTTGTGGCAAGGTGAGTGCTCCGAAGATCAATAGTGCTTCGTCTGTGTTTCCACGAAATTCAGTTTGGTAATTCAGCATCGCCTCTCCCTCACACAGACGAGCTCGAAAGCCAGCCCACAAATGAAGAACGGCGAGCAAATTCCAAGGAAGAGTCCCCAAAGACAAGAAAAAGACAATTATATGGTAATAGACAGCAGTCCCATCAATGTACTGACAGTACTTTCACCATTTCAACAAACCAACTGTACACACACATACAACAAACCAACTGTTGTGATGCATTCAACCAAGGGCATAGTTTGTAATACAGTAGTGGGGGCTACGGTTTAAGAGAGGGGTGTGCATCACCCAGAAGACCTCTCTTAAGCACGACCTTCTCTTAATACGGTTTAAGAGAGGTTTTCTCTTAAACCGAACGTTAGGTTCAAGAGAAAACCTCTCGTAACCCGATTATATGTCTTTTCACAGGGTCTAACATGATGGAAGTGATGCAAAGTAATATTTTTTTGTTTTCCACAATATTTTCGTGCGTTATAGGGCCCTCACGAAGCGTGATCCCTCCTTCTTGTTGTGTACGAAGCACAACCGATGTAACTATTACTTGGTCTCCAACGTGTACTCCGACCTCATCTCGACAAACAGCAGCGCATATCATAGGATAGCTGCCAACAGAACACAGAGACGTGAGCATCACACACAAAACACTCAAGACCAGTGACTCAAGCACCTACAGCAGTACAAGTAGTACACCCTACCCTTAAAAAAAAAAACAGACGTCCATGAACATCGCCTGTGGGCAGCTTCTGCAACTTTACATGAAGTCTGCCATGCATGTTTGCTTCGTTTTCTTCGACCTAGCCTCGCTCATCCAGGCTAACTTCGCCTTGCGAAGATGGTAAGCTACCCCGGCCATGCTGCACCTCTCTGCTATTTCGTCGAGGTCTAAGAACTGCCTAGATACGTCAGCGTACGGTGGCGGACGAGGAGAGACCAGGGGCTGCGTACACTGTCCCTCGTCTCCCGCCGAAGAGTCGGCCTCGTCGTCGCCCGAGTCAATGTTCAGTTGGTCCATGTTCAGGTGGACAAGCGACTCCTCACAAAGATCGTCCTTCAGATCTGCAATAATCGCCTCCGCTACACCCTCTTGTTCCTCTTCACGCAACCATGTCTGCACGGCTTCCATGGAAGCCCGGGTTGGCGTTGCGCCAGGTGCCAACCCAGACCCTTCAGCGCCTCGCCAAGGTCTTCATCGACAGTTACCTTCTTCGCCTCAAGAGAAAGACGCTGCACCAAGTCCGTCAACTCTTTGAGACTCTCCTTCTTGTTGCGGATATTCTTTCCCACGTCCTGGTCGAGGTCCGCGTGCACCGCAGGAGGAAGGATGTCACATTTCCTCCAGCACCTTGGAAACGATGAATAGTTAAAGTACGCGGGAAGGAGAGAGAAACGTGCGCGGCGAGAAAAGAAAAAACAGAACGAGCCGAACGAAAAAAAGCATTTTATCATTTTTTCAATCAAACAAAACTTGCCAGATGATGGCGGCAGTTAACAATTTCGTCAACGTGCAATATACGTGGTAACGGTGTGTGTCTAGAGAGGGGAAACTATACAGCAGTTATTGAATAATGTCGTGAACACCACCACACGGACACACCTCTTGATTGTCTCCGGCAAAACTTCCTTCCACGCCTCGAGGCCTAGCTCAGCTGCGTCCAGGATGTGAGGCTGCGCTCCTTCCGCGAGCCCCATGCAGCCCCGAATCACCTTGCGTTCCCTCGCCTGCTCCCGTAGCTGCGCCGCCGACGTCATCGTGTCGACACGAATCCCCAGCAGCTTCGTCCTGTACCGCACTTTCCAGGCTGCGATGATCCCGGCATCCATGGGCTGGTGCTTGCTCGTGCAGTTGGGTGGCAGCTCAAGAATCTTCACCTGCTCCTTGGGGTCTACGAGGTAAGCGTGGCTGCTGTGGTTGTCCATGATGAGAAGAACCTTCTCGCTGGTGACAGAGCGCACGTGTGGCAGGAATACTTGCGACCACCATAGCTTGAACACTCGCGCGTCCGACCACGCGTTCTTCTGGCTGAAGTACTTGATGGGTGAGCCCCGGATCTTGAAGCACCGAGGCTCCTTGGCTGTGCCGAAAAAAAGACAGCGACACCTTATGCCCGCTGGCGCTCGTGGCCATGTAGGCGGTGACTCGATCCTACGCTCTCATACCTTTCACGCCTCGCACGGTCTTCTTGAGCTCTGATGGTGCGAGGTATGTAGCCTTGGGNAAAGACAGCGGCACCTTACGCCCGCTGGCGCTCGTAGCCATGTAGGCGGTGACTCGATCCTTCGCTCTCATACCTTTCACGCCTCGCACGGTCTTCTTGAGCTCTGATGGTGCGAGGTATGTAGCCTTGGGCATGATCCTGTAGCACAGCCCGGTTTCGTCGGCGTTGTAGACGCATTCTGGGGCATACTGAGCGCACGTCTCGCGGATTACTCTGAGGCGATCGGCGATGGCTTCGTCGTCGACGCTGCCTGCTTCGCCGTGAGGTGTGCGGGAGTGCAGGTTGTTGGGCTTGATAAACCTCTTTACCTCTTTACCCACCCCTCGGACGCGTTGAAGCCGCTGTACTGCACACGCTCGGCGTCCGTAGATGCTGCGTTCTCGAGAGCACGACGAGCTTTGCGCCCGAATGCCTGGATCGCGTCCTGGTTGACAGGAATTCTCAGTGCCCTCGCCTCCACCAACATTTCCATGACTGCTTGCTCCACCTGGAGAAGACAAGAGGGACATATAGTATTCACGGATTTAGCAGCTGTAGTGTGTGCACTGCTGTTACTATTCTGCTGTATATCATTTCGTCCTACAGCAAATACTGCACGGCATGATACAGCGTACCTACGCCACACTAGCCGGTTGCTGAAAAAAAACGGCCACAAACATACTCGGAATTAAACTATTGCTGCTGCTGTACAGCAGTAATATACACAAGAACTGTTAATAAACTGCTGTACACGACCCCTGCTTGTACAAGAAAAATTCAAAAATCAAAAACAAAGTCAAAAAACACTCGGAATTACCGCTGTACTCTGCTGTGTACTGCTGTACAGCAAACATAGCTGAGCACCCACCTTCGCAAACTCAGCCCCCTTCGTAGACTTGGCGCCGGGCATGGAGACTGCTGCCTGTTGTCTGATGTCTGCTTCCTTAGCTCTCCACCCGTTCAAGGTGCTCACCCCGATCCCCATATCCTTCGCGATTGCTACGCCGCTCATGCTCTTCAAAAGATCGAGCGCCCGAACCTTGTCTTCGAGCGTCGGTCGTTTGCGGGTTTCGGCGCCACGAACTTTCCTACGTGCGGTGTTGCCAACGGGTTTCAAGCTGTCCAGTGCACCCGCTCGCTCCTTCTTCCCCGTTGCCCGCCCGTCCGGGCAGGGGCGCTTCGAAGATGCAGCCCCAGCAGTCGAGTCTGTGCTTGATTCCTTGCGGATGCTCGAGTTGACACATCCGTGGCAAACACGGCGGTGCATCTCGTTGTCGCCAAGCGTCATGCACACCGCACAGTCCATGAAGGTAGCCTCCGCAGACACGGCATGGGTGGTTCGTAAACAGTGGGGGGGCGGGTGTGTGGTCCGGCGTTGCCAGGCGGCGGGAACCCGCGGCGCAAGGCATCCGTTGGAGCTGTGTGTCTCGCTAGCTATGATGGCCCACTCTGTTGTACAGCTGCTTGAGCTGCTACAGGCAGTGGGGGGCAGCTGGTGGGCTATAGGGGGTGGGGGGTTGGGGGGCAGGTTCGGTTTAAGAGAGGTTTAGGAGAGGTTTAAGAGATTCGGGGTTCGGCTTAAGAGAGGGGTGTGTCTAGCAATTTTGACCTCTCTTATATCGGCAATTCTCTTAAACTGAGCTCTCTTAAACCGTAGCCCCCACTGTAGCTTGACACACCCGAAAACCCAACCTCCCCCTTCTAATATACCCTCAAAGTGAAACATAGAGTAATATTGCGTCCCCAAAACAAAAAGCTAGAAGACGCCCAATATCCAAGACAAAGCACACCCCAACACTCTCACCATATTCTGAAGCCCTACCAATACTCGAATTCGACCCCAGTTTTTCGTACTTTACCCCAGATGGCGACCAATGTGTTTTGTTGAGCCTATCAACCGCGGCGGAGAGATCGCTATATATGCTGCTTCTGAAACCAAACACAGGTAGATTTTGCAGTGTCCGCTAACGCAACGATAGAGTCCGAATGCATCCGTACACTTGTCTGTACAACGGAAGGGGAAGAACTCGTTGAGCTTTCGTGCCTACGAAACAGCCAAATAAACGTCGAAACATCCAGAACATCAAAGACTTTTCGATGCTATTTTCGGTTTGAATGTGCGTATGTTCATTCCACATACTCTGGCACCAGTCTACACACCTCGTGGATGTATGCCTTTGTTTGGCATATCAGCAGAGGCCACACAGGAAATAAGGTACAGGCCCCTTCGTTTTCTTCTTTTTTGCCCCACCTTTCCTCCTACAGTACTTGGTTTTTGGCGTTGGAAGGGTACAGCCGTCACTTTCCCTCGTCGACCGTCTAGTCGAAGTTTGCATTCAAATATTAACGAAATATGTCTTTCCCGACCGCAGACAGACGTAGGCGAACAAACCCTCCTCTCAGAGATGTCGAATCCGCAACTTACTACTATATTAGGAGGTTTGCGGGGTTAACCACAACACACCGGACCGTAGTTTTCGCACTTCGGTTCCTGCAAGTGCATCGCAGTGGCATCACACCCTCTCCCCTCCCATGGTTCCCGCGACCTGTACTTTATCACCAGGGCTACGCAAGATATCACACCCTCCACAGAGTACAACATCCGGTGATACCTTGTGGAAACGCAAAAATGTTATCCCCGGGGCGTGTTGTCTGGTGTCGTATACAGTAGTTGGGGATTCTCTCTGAAAATGATTTGGGAATCGTCAACTCTCCTCATTGACTCACCTTGTAGCCTGTTGTTCGACATATCGCATTGGTACAGGATTCCGAGGTTTACCAGCTCCGGCGGGATGGAACCTGGGTAGCAAAACAAAGAGTTAATGTAGCGGGGGACAGCGAACAAAACCCGCCGGCGTCTAGGTCATCAGTCTTGCCAACGCATCGATGAGACACATTCTAGAACAAACTCACGCCAGGATGATCACCGCTGTCCTTCTCTCGCGGGAGATTCCCGCAGGGAGCATGTAGCTCGGCGCGAGCTCGTGCACAAGCTTGTATTTTACAGAAACCAGCCAACCGGTGAATTTAGTACCACGCGGTCCTTGTTGCTTTCGAAGATGTGTCCCGCCTATGCGTTGGTACGGAGCTCACTACATTTTCTAGAATCGTGCGCGAATGAATATCTTGGCATTCACACGAAACGAGACAGTGTCGCGTACCTTCCAATTCGTTGCTGGCGAGCAACAGCACCACCAGAGATGCGAGATTCCCCAGCTCTTTCGGTATAGGGCCTGCAATGAGTAGCGCAAGATAAACAAAATAAAAAAAAATCGGTTCGGAAGGTTCTACCCCTTTTGGCGCTAATGTTGGCTAGGGAACAACCGGCTGAGTGACGAGCAAAAAACAACGATGTCAATACAAAACTGTTTTTCATGTCCCGCCACGATGGCGGGAAAATCGTCCATGCCACCATCAAAGACATCATTGTGCAATGCCGATCCCGGACATCATGCAGGTGAATTCCGGTGTCGATATGACAGGTCGGAAACTCTTGATGGCTCGACTTACAAGGCATCGAGCTGTGAGTACCTCTGACAACATCGGTGTGCCGCCTCGAAGAGACACTTCACTGTCCCATGATTGAATACTACGGCCAGCACGCGTAGCCGGGAACATGATCTACGTAGAAGCACGCGGCGCCACCAACATTGAGTTCCTTGGCTCGGCTTCCAGAGAATTGGCCCTTCCGACGTGTACTTGGGATTCTCCCTGAAAATGATTGCGGAACCACCTGCACTTCTCAGAGACTCACCTGTTAGCTGGTTCTCCGACAGGCAGAGTTGTTGCAGGTTCTCGAGGTTGCCCAGTTCTTGCGGGATAGGACCTGCAACAAAGAGGGGGGGAACTAAGCAAGCAGGGCGCCCAGTGCCTACAAGATCGGCCTCGCCACCGTGTCTTTGAGAAGCATTTTCTAGAACAAACTCAAGCCAGGATGATCACCGTTGTGTTTCTCTCGAAGGAGATTCCCGAACTGCTGCACAAACTTGCTTCTTACCGCAACCAACTTACCGGTGAGGTTGGTATCGCGCACGCTGGTCCTTGTTGTTTGCGAAAATGCGTCCCGGATCCGCGTTGGTGAGTAGCTAACTACGCGTTCTAGAATCGTGCGCTCGAATGGACGTCTTGGCGTGTAAACGAAATACTACAATGCCGCGTACCTTCCAATCTGTTGCTGAGCCACAGAGTAACTAGAGCTGCGAGATTCCCCAGCTCTTTCGGTATTGTACCTGCAATGCGTAGTGCAAGGGAAACAGATGGAACAATACGTAGTGGTTGTAGTAGGCCATGCCATGTTGTAGAAAGGAAGATGCTCAGAAGATCTGGTGAATATTGTGTTTATTCGTTTGGAAGGTTCTACCCCTCTGAATGCTTAGGGCAGGGCGTTATTGGCCAGGAAACAACGGGCGAAGTGGCGAATTCAGTTGCGTGTACCTCGGACTATATCGGCGTCTCAAAATGGAACACCGCCACCGCGCGTAGTTGCGGGAATATGATTTAAGTAGAAGCCCGCGGCGCCACCAAGAATGGTCATTCTTGTATGCATATACTGTGCCACCTTCTACTCTCAGGGCCAAAATAACAGGCACTACCCCACAATGAGCTGGGGGATTTCACTTCTTTGACGGCACAGTGGCCCCAAAACAAAACAGCCTGGAGGGTGTGTAGCGTTGTGTTTGTGTGTATTTGCATCGACAGCGCTAACCAGCTGACCATCGTCGGTGCGAGCGATCGTCGAAGGATAGAAGGCCGCGGTACAGCATAACCGAAGGCTTCTAACAGCGCCTCTGACAGGCCACACTCGGTCGTGCAATGGCTTCTTGGCACCACCAACAAACGTTCACGCCCTGCGACTAAATGGAGAGGAACCACGCATACGTGGAAAAATACGCGTGAACAAGTCGTACTTGTAAGCTCCAACGTGACCGCACCGCTCAGTCGACTCTTGTCTCGTGACAAACTTTCGCAGTACGCCCAGCTTGCCAAGATGCGGGGGTATCGACGTATCGACCATGCACAATACACGCGTGCACCAAGTCGAGGGTTCAGCCATCGCCAATTGAAACACTGAAATTTCGGTTTCCAGAGAATGAGTACTTCCGACCCGTACTTGGGATTCTCACCCGTTAGCTAGTTCTCCGACAGGTGGAGGTGTTGCAGGTTTCCGAGGTTGATTAGCTCCGGCGGAATCGGACCTGTGGCAGAACAAAAGGTGGGTTCGGAGGGTCATAGTGTCTAAAAAATCAGTCTCGCCAACGCGTTCGTGAGACGCATATTCTACAACAAATTACTTCAAAACTGTGCTTTCTCTAAGGTTGTAGCTCTGCTCGAGCTGCTGCACAGGCTTTCTTTTTTTCGGCAACCAACTTACGGGTGAGGTGGTGTCACGCAGGTTGGTCCTTGTTGTTTTCGAAGATGCGACCCGCCTATGCGTTGGTCAGTAGCTAACTATTGTTCTAGAATTGTGCGCGCGAATGGATGTCATGACGTGCAAACGAAACACCACAATGCCGCGTACCTCCAAGGCCGTTCACTCGGAGCCCTGGCAACGTCAGAGCTGTGAGATTGCCCAGCTCTTTCGGAATAGTAACTGCTGTGAGCAGCGCGAGAGAAGCAGGTGGCACATTTCCATACAAGAACCCGAATAGCATGGTGAGGCATCACGACAATAATATAGAAGGGGCAAGCGTTCCCAACAAGTGTAGGAGACAGCCTAGCTGCAGCCCCGGCCTCTTGCCTGAGAGCTTGTTATCCGACAGGTCAAGACTCGTCAGGCGGGAAAGGGCTCCCAGCTCCTTGGGTATGCGCCCTGCCAGAAGCAGCACAGCAGTGAAGCATGAACGATAATGTGGCTATTATTCAGGTTTGAGAAAATCGGTCCCGCCCACGGGTGGGTGAGACAATGTTCAAAACCAAAGGCTCTCCTGGGCGAAGACGAGACCATGGACCCGCACGCTGCACGACGAGTGTCAGAGCACGGAGATTCCGGGCGGTTCTTTGCTTTCAACGTCAACCCGCCCAGCATTTGACAGTTGGTTATCGCAGATCGCAGCGTGGAGTACACGTTACGCTCGGGTTGGCGTATTGCATAACAGTCTCGGAAAGAGTGTCATCTTGCATTTTTTCAATGAAGTTTTGAAGGCAAGTCACCAATAAATAACGAGGGCGTGGCACTGGTCGCTTCCCATATTCCCTCTCTCATCCAGCAGTCAAGTTTCCCTTCCACACGGCTTCCTCTCGTGGTCGCTGTTGAGTAACAAAACGACCCACGTCTTCTCGCCTTCTTACCGCGTGAACGGAGCTCGAACCACCCATGTACGCGATTACCTCAATCTCACCCTACATCTTCGTCTACACATTCATCCGTTACATTCTGGACGCCCGCCCTATCAAGGGGCGGGGGAGGCAAAGCCTGCACCTAGGTACTTGGCTCACACGCCGTCCGTACATGTTCTCTGTTTCATTTTTTCCTCTGTCATGCTTGTGCAGGACAAGTCCCGAAGCAGCTAGGAGCTCTGGCCAAGCTAGACTGGCCTTCTCTGCTACACTCAGCTATACGGTTGGGAAACGGAGCAGGACGTTGTATTCTAGATACGCTGCTGTATGAAGCAATTGACATCTCGCCACCTGTCGAATGGGTGTCTCATCGACGCGTAGGCGGGACACATGTTCCAGAGGGCACGTCCTATCGACTTCGAGGACACGATAACTGCAGTCCCAGCTTCTTACCTGAAAGCTCGTTGCTATTCAGCGAAATTATCACCAGCTTTGTGAGGTTTCCGATCTCCTTGGGTATGGGCCCTGCCCAAAGGAAGCACAGCCACGAAGCACAAACATGAGTTTCATGCGTGACCAAGATTCGACAACATCTGTCCAGCCCACGCGAGGGTGAGGCAGGCTCGTTGGAGGTTATGCCTTGAGGAAATCAGGTTGTTTTCAAGCATGACGCCCGCAACCCAAGTCTATTCCTCTTCACCTGTAAGCTCGTTGTAGTGGACGTAAAGCCACTCCAGCTTAGTGAGGTTTCCTATCGGGAATGGGCCCTGCCCAAAAGCAGCACAGCAGCAAAAAAAAGAAGGAAAAAGCTTGTTCAAGATTCGAGAACGTGTGTTGTTGTTGTTGTTTTTCTCCCATCATTGGACTCTGTCGTCTGCCCCTCTGGCCCCTATCCTCCACTTCTACTAGCTAGACGACCCAACCGGGGTCACATAGGAGGGGGGGGTTGGACCCCCTCCTGCGGTTCATGCCTGAGGTATTTCTATCGCGAGAAGGGTACGGCGATCCCTTCCCTCGCGACTTACGAAGTCGATTATGGTTTACTAACAAACGAGCTTTGCAACGCGTCGCTTTCATCTTAGACCAAGATTTATTAAGTGAGAAAAAAACAATAATTTTTCTCTACCGGGACTCGAACCCCATGACCTGGCCTTAGGCAGGCTGTGAGGCAACCCTTTGGACCACCGGGGCGAATACCCCACTCGAGGGTCAAACAAGATCAACATATTTAATACTCTTGAACAACAGTCTGGTTTTAAGACGACGCCCTCAGCAAATATCATTTCCTCTTGACCTGAAAACTTGTTGCTGTAGACGTCAAGCCCCTCCAGCTTGGCGAGGCTTCCTAGCTCCTTGGGTATGGGCCCTTGTTACGGAGGTAGACCACTCAGCCACCCATGAAGGTGAACCATTTACCTGGCTGAGACAGGACCTTTTAACACTCTAGCACTGAAACCAAGCGAGAAGTAATTCCCGGGACCACCTTGAAGGCTGCTACTTTCGAGGTCCAGGACGGTCAGAGATGTGAGATTCCCGAGCTCTTTTGGCAAAGTACCTGCAGCGAGTACCGAAATAATCGAGGTCTTGGCACATATCGGGGTCTTGGCACATATCGGGGTCTTTGCACAGGGTGCGCGGAAAAAAGCGGGTTCCGAATGATTTGCTAGATTATCGCATATCGTCGTCTCCGCACACTGTGCGGAGACGCAGATATGTGCGGTGAGGTTTGGCCGTAAGTGATACCCTTTCACCAGCATCTTGTGCTGGTAATTCCGGATACTGTGGGACCTCGAATCGCGTGGTCCACTGCTACTGCTGCCCTTGGCACCATGACGATGTTCAAAAATGTGGTATTTGTACTCTTTGTTCTCTTCTTTTCGTTCTGAAGAATCAACATCGGCAAATCGGCAAACGGCATCCACTCAACAATTCTAAACGCGGATGAAACCAAAAACGAAGTAAAAAATCACACCAAACTACAACTACGAGCTACCAATTTCATACTACTGTACTTCCCAGGCGGGTTGAACTCTACTTCGTGCCCGCGCCCCTACCATCGCAAAAACATCCAATCTCACTGGCAATCACAAAGAACTATGATCCAAAGTTCGACTACTTCTCCTTCGGTGCCCCCGCCCCCCTGCCCCTCCACGACTTCCACGTCGCTGTCGCCCTCCAAGACCTCCACCTCGCTGTCGCTCTCATCAGCGACGTAGGGCAGCAACTTCCCCTCGACCTCCTTCTGAGCAGCCGTGATGGAGTTGGAGTCAAACCCCCCTGGTACCTTCGGCAGCTTGAGCGGCGGGGGAGTCACGTCGGGGTGCTCAGCGAGCCACACGGCGTGCTGCTCCTCGAGAAGGTCGGGGTAGTCTTCCCCGAAGTTGTGCTCGCACCAGGCGTGGTCTTCGCTGCCGTCGAGCGCGAGCGTGAGACCGCAGATCTTGAAGCAAGTCTTCACCGTCTCGGGGGTGATGGACTCCCACGATTCCTTGCACCACGTAGAGACTACCTCACGCTCCGNTGGACTCCCACGCTTCCTTGCACCACGTAGAGACGACCTCACGCTCCGGTGGCTTCACCTTCCCCGACCGGGCGCCTGCGACCGCCGACGCGCTGTAGGCGGTGTGCTTGCCCCGCAGCAGCCGCTTCATCTGCTTGTTGAGCATGCGGTCGAGCGGTTGGAGCAAGGGCGTCAACCCGCCTGGGATGAAGAAGACGATGGTGTTGGCGTCTCTCTTGAGGGCGGCGATGAAACCCTCGTCC